GAAACTTTTCGTAAAAATGAAAAAAATTAAAATTCAGCGTGGAGTAGTCTTGCAAATTGAAAGTCAATTTTGTTGCACTGCAAATTGGCGCTTTTCTCTTAGAAAAAATTGCACTGTGAAAATGTTTCCAAACTCTAAATCAGGTTTTTTTTTTATCCTTTTTACATTTAAGGAACCCCTGGCCAAAAGTCTGAGATCTCAAGAAACCCTAAAATAATTTTTGTATGAACAGTTCACGTAGGGTTGCCACTTCATCCCTTTAAAACCGAACACATATTAATTACATAGGTTCTTTGGCTAATTAAGGTGATAATTAAACCCCAATTAGTGCCTTATCTGCATTAATTAATCAGTCTCAAAAGGAATTCACCTGTTGCACATAAGTATTTATAAGATTTATTTATGCAGCGGCTCTGCAGCTTTATTTGCACAATATTGATTAAATCACATGTGATATGTATCACCACAGATGTATGATCTTGATTAATTTATAATATTATCTTATTTATTTTTTATAAGTCACAGATATTTATTTGATAATGTGATGGACAACTGAAGCAGTGTATTTGTGTGAGAACCCTTGGGGACTTCTCACGGAGCGCCCTGGTTGAGAAAACTGCAACTAAAAGTGTTTGGTCCAGCACCATTTTACTGAGAGGAGGAAATTGAAAAACAATTTACTGACCAAAGTTACTATAGGTAAAAATTATGCTGTGATGGTGAAGAACATTAATAGGATATTTTAAAGGTTATAAAGATAAACTGATTTGACAAATTTACCCCCTTACTTGTCAATTAAGGCCTGAGAGGACAAAAACTATCATCTACTGTATCCCAAGAATCATCCAACTGTAGGAGGTACATGTTGGAGCCCACAAGCAAACTACAATTGGAGCCTTTTCCCTGAAGTGTTCCCTAGTGGCAGAAAATGCTTATTTCTCCTGTTTGGGAACTACATTGAGAAGTAACAGTGTTACTTGAATTGTATTCCAGGATTTGCTTATCTTCAGCTGAGAACTTTACATTAAGTCTCAGAATCTTTCATTATGTTTTTCATGTTATATAGTTTGATTACCATGTAATACTGTAAATACATTATTTATAATTTTTAAAAAATATATTCCACCCTTCTTTTTAATTTTTTTTTCAAATTTTTTTCGGAAAAAACAAAAATAGATTTTTTTCCAGGCCTTATAGTTTCTAGCTCTCAGCATAGAGAATTTTATTAATGTTCAGGTAGAATGTGAGTAAATCCAGGCAAATATATCTACACTTGTTAATAATAGATAATAGATTTTGCATATCCTTTCTTCAATAAAATGATCCAATCAATTAAAAAAATTACTGACTAGTTACATTTAAAATAATATTAAATCCCAACACAAAATGATTATATTGCAGCTTATCAGTCCCTAAAGTGATTTTAAACCCCAAACCAGAAATTATTAGATGTGGAATCTGCTTTAGTTTTCTTTTTCTAGCCTTTTTCCCTTTATTTTCACCCACTAATCCTGCCAATAAGACTGTTATTTTTCAAAAGACCAAGCTGTCTAGCAAAAGAGGCAATTAGAGGGTTGAAACAAACCATTTAACATTGACAGGGACAATAGTCAGCTGTATTTGTTTAAAGTGAACATAAAGGAAACTGTTTCTTATTTTTAAAATAACTATTTTTGCACAGAGCAGCCTTAATCCTTTTTTTCTGGGGTCCCCTGCCAGTGCTCCTGGTTCCTCCCTCCTTATGCTGTACCCCATAGGAAGCTGCTTGCTATGGGGACACTCATTCTGGCTCTATCCTGAGCCAGGCTCTGTGCATCCATTGGCACACAGAATGCTGTTCGGTCCTTCCCCTGCTCGCTCCTCATAGGCTGTGATTGACAGCAACAGGAGCCAATGGCTCTCACTGCTGCCTCCATGTCCATTGAGGAGAGAGAGCAGAGAGAGCTGCTGCTCTCAGGCACAGTGCTGGATCGAGATTAGGCTCAGGTAAGTATAAGGGGGGGGGGGGGGGGGGTGGCTGATCACAGAAGATTTTTTTACCATAATGCAGAGAATGCATTAATTTGAAAAACCTTCTGCCTTAAGGACCACTTTGAATAAAACTTTTATCCTAAAAGGAAAAAAATGTTGCTATAACTGCTTAAAAAGTGTTAGCTAGGGTTCAACTTTAGTTTGTTAGTCAAGTCCATTTAAACCTAAAGCTACCAATTCCACAGAATGACAATGCTGCTGTCCAAAGATGTCTCCGGAGTAACCCCATAAAGAGTGGAGACACACCAAAACAGGAAGCGTGCTACTGGCCAAATCACCAAATGAAAGTAAAGGGGAAAAAAAGTCTCCAAAAACTAATGTAGCCACCATATTTAAGGATTGGTAAGCTGCAATATATTACATTTTTCTGTTTGGGGGTTTAAATCTGTTTCAAATGCAGTGGCTGCAGTAGTTTTCTTAGTTTTTTAGGAGTTTTATTCTTTTTCTCCTGGTCTTATGATGGCTCCTCTACCTATGGAAAAGCAGCAGACACTTTTGGACAGCAAACTTGTGTGGAGGTGGTAGTGTAAGGTGGACTAGTAGCTTTAGATGGACGTGGGTAACAAATTAAAGAAGCTAATATTTTTAAAGCGATATTAAAGGTTCATTTTTTTTTTTAAAATAACAAACATGTCTATACTTACCTGCTGTGTGCAGTGGTTTTGAACAGAGCAGCCTGGATCCTCCTCTTCTCAGGGCCCCCACAGGCTCTCTTGGTTCCTCCTTTCTGTCGCATGCCACCACACTCCCCACACAGCGGGTGACCCCGCCCTCCTCCCTCCTCATTGGCCGAATGGCTGTGATTGACAACAGCGGGAGCCAATGGCTTGCTGTCTCAGCCAATGAGGAGGCAGAGACCCGGGACAGCTGAGGCTGTTGTATACATTGATGGATCGTGATGGAGCTCAGGTAAGTATTGAGGGGGCTGAGGGAGCTGCTGCACACAGGTTTTTTACCTTCATACTTAGAATGAGCCTTTACATTCGCTTTAGGCCCCTTTCATGCGGGCATTCCATTTTTTCATCAGTTCAGTCATGTTTTTTCCCAAGAAAAAACAGATCAGTTCAGGTCAGTTTTTCATCAGTTTACATCCGTTTTTCATCCATTTTTCATCAATTTACATCTGTTTTTCATCCATTTACATCCATTTTTCACCCGTGTTTTGATCCGTTTTTCATCTGTTTACATCCGGTTTTTGTCCGTTTAGATCCCTTTTCATCTTTTTTTGTCCGTTTACATCCGTTTTTGTCCATTTACATCCGTTTTTGTCCATTTAGATCCTTTTTCATCTGTTTTTTTTGTCCGTTTACATCAGTTTTTGTCCATTTACATCCGTTTTTGTCCGTTTACATCCGTTTTTCGTCCGTTCCGTTTTTTTTTTTTTTACGGAACAAAAATAGGGTGTTCTGTTAAAAAAAACAGATGTTGACGAATGCAGACATTAACGGATATAAACAGATGGTCATCCGTTTACATCCGCTAGTCCATAGAAATACATTGATGTCTGTTTTTTTTTATTCTTTAAACGGACAGATGAAAAATGGATATATGGAATGCCCGTGTAAAAGGGGCCTTAAGCAACAGCAACAGTTTTTTTTTTCCTTTTGGGATAAACATTGTACATAAATGAATAAAAGCTGACCATTGTAAGCACTCCTGTCAGTGTTAAATGGTTTGTCTTAAGCCATCAACTGCAACTTTTGCGCTACAGCTTGGCCTGTAACCACTTGACCTCCAGAAGGTTTTACCCCCTTCATGACCAGACCATTTTTTACTGTTCAGCACTGTGCTACTTTACCTAGCAATTGCTCAGTCATGCAGCACTGAACCCAAATAAAATTTATCTTTTTTTTACACAAATTGAGTTTTCTTTTGATTGTATTTGATAATCACTTTTTTTTTTATATATATATAAACGAAAAAAAGAACGAAAAAAAAAAAGATGTTTTCAACTACAAGGGGTAACTGTGTGCCTTACAAGTGTATGTGTGCTGATTTTACAAACAGACTGGCTGGCTTTTCCTTCTGATCTGGGAGAAGAAACAGACAGATCTGTGTTCTGTGTTTATTAACACATAGATCTCTGTGCTGTGGTCCACCACAGCCATCAGTAGGTTCACAGGTTCTGCCGACAAACTGGGGTTTATTTACTAAAGCTGGAGAGTCCAAAATCAGACTCCCTTCTGCATAGAAACCAATCAGCTTCCAGGTTTCATTGCCAAAGCTTCATTGAACAAGCTGAGGTTAGAAGCTGATTGGTATCTATGCAGAAGGGTGTCTGATTTTGGACTCTCCAGCTTTAGTAAATAAACCCCACTGTGTCCAACCATAGCACGAGCAGCAGGGGGTGTGCATGCACCTCTGTAAAACTCGAAGCCACCGAGCAGCAGTAAATGTTAAATTGCTGGTCGGCAAGTACTAAAAGAAGTTGAAAACTAACGGACTTACTGGCCAGATTGCCAGGTAAAAATAAATGCAAAAAATCTAAAAAAATAAAAGAAAACTAATCTAAGTTTTGGTAAGCTGCTATATATATAATTTTGGGTTAATACCACTTTAAGTTTAATACATAGGTAAAGATTTATATTGGTGTGATGACTGAGGGTCTCAATGGCAACCTATTAATGGACTTTACATTTCCATCTGTAAAAAAAATGCACAGTCTTCACTGCAAAGTCCCTGAAAATATAATACCTGCCAAAAAATCTCTTAGGAAGTAAAGCTGTCAATCATAGTTGTGTTTCTTGAAGTTATGCCCATTATGGAAGTACATCAGTCACTGACAGCCCTGTTCTGGCAAATGTTTCTCTAGGCTCTCCTCTATGACCTCCTACAGGGGCTCAGATCCATAAAATACCAACAGTGCTAGACATCAGTCAGCCAACTGCTGGTTTAGAAAATAATTGACAGTGAATGCTGTCACTTAAAAAATGTGCATCTTAATTTGCTTTTCATGCATTTGTTTCTAGGCCGGGCATATTCAAGGACTTTGCAACAAGCTTCCGTGACTTTATTACCAAAGCGGATTTGTGACGAGCGGTACAGGGGTCGATTTACAGGGAGGATGCTTTGTGCAGGAAGTCCTCCTGAGCAGAAACATGTGGACAGTTGTCAAGGAGACAGTGGTGGTCCTTTGATGTGTGAACGAACTGGAGGCAACTGGGTAGTATATGGAGTAACCTCTTGGGGTTATGGCTGTGGTGTTAAAGACTCTCCTGGAGTATATACAAAAGTGTCAGCCTTAATACCATGGATAAAAAGTTTGACCAATTTGTAAAGATCACAAAAGCCTAAATGTTTTCAAAGTAGCCAGACCAAACTGTCATGGATTTCACACTGACAGCAAGGCACTTCGGAGCTAGTATGTTGTGATTTCACTTCTAGGTTACTAGCTTGGGTTTGAAATGTACAGTTTATTTCCTTATTAGTGAGGATGTCATGTTATAAAACAATCTGCGACTGGAATTACCTCTTTGTAGCTGCTGTTAAAAAATATTAATGACAGAAAGTCAGCCTTTATACTAGATTGGAGTAAACCACTCTTTCAGAAAAAAAGCTGGCAATAGACGGTTTGAATCTCATCCGAGTTCAGCAGGAATCGGCCAAGCTTTGAACTGTGTATAGGCAGGCTTAATGTACAACCAGCCTGCCGGATTTACTTGTGATTATCGCTAGCAGCTGCTATAGCCGTTAGCAGCTGCTTAGCCGTTAGCAGCTGCTATAGCCACTAGCGATAATCACTGGCTTCTCCCTGAGGGAACACCACTCCGCTGCTGGGAGAAGACAATTGCTCGGCAGGTGGGATTCCTCTGTCCCCATGTTCTGTGTTGATGGGGGAATTGTGTGGTTTTCTTTACTGCAACCGTGGGTTGCAGGAAAGAAATTCACCCTATCTATACCCGATCTAAGACTTGGTGGACAGCAAGGAGAAAGGAGACCATAAAATAAAACTTAATATTTGTGAATGTCCAATATGGTAAGAATAGGGCTAAATGGTTGCAGATACAATTAAAATTATAGCATCAATTTGATTAATTTTTATGTCAATGAGTTGTGAAGGAATAAAAGCAAATGCTCCAGAGTAACAAAGTAAAGCGTTGAATTAGGTACAACAACATTTAATATTGTTAAATGTAAGGCTATTTTTGAGGTTTAGCTTATGTAATAGACAATCAGCAAGATTACTGACACAATGGGAGTTATTTGGCAGTGTAGTGGCTAAGTGGTTAGCACTTCTGCCTAGCAGCACTAAGGTCATCGGTTTCAATCCCAGCCAGGGCACTTCCTGCCTGTAGTTTGCACGGTCTCCCTCTGTCTGTGTGTGTTTCATCTCAAACTCCAAAAACAGCCGATAAGTTAATTGGCTTCGGTCTAAATTGGCCCTAGTATGTGTATGAATGTGAGTTAAGGGCAGGGACTGATGTCAGTGTACAGTATATTTAAAGCGCTGTGTAAAATGTCGGCGCTATAGAAGTACATGTAATAAATAAATAACTGGAGAGTGCAAAATCTGGTGCAATTCTGCATAGAAACCAATCAGCTTCCATGTCTTATTGCCAAAGCTTAATTGAACAAGCTGAAGTTGGAAGCTGATTGGTTACCATGCAGAGTTGCACCAGATTTTGAGTTCACCAGTTTTAGTAAATCTACCCCAATGTATCTCTACAAATCAATACACACATCTTAACTACATAATCAAGAACTGTTTAAGTCAAAGAACAATTGTTTGTTAAGTGCTCATTGTTCCTTACATAGCTCTACCAATGAGCCTAAAAAAGTTTGCGGTCTTTTCCCTGTTACTATTTTTAAAATATAATGGCATCTATTGTAATGCAATGCTAGCCCTCAAATGTATTAAAGTATAACTAAAGGCAGTTAGTTTAGTGTTGGACAGAGTGAAGATGATTAGAGTATCTGTCAGGAATTTATTGGTACTATTACCCCTGTTAGAGAGATTCACCCTCTCTATTTGTGTTGTTTACCATTATCATTGAAAGTGAAAGTAAAAGTTTAAGAAAATGCCACATTTTGGGTTGTCCCCAGAACAGTAATAGAGGGGAAATTTTCCTTTGGGGACACTACTTCTGGTGAGCAAGTGATTCCCTTAATTTTCCGGGATTTCCTCTAACTTCCTATTTTTGTTATGGATAGGACGTGAAGAGAAATCCTCCCAATGGGGCACAGATGGCAAAAAAAATGACAGGTGTTATAACTCTCCCTTACTCTATCCAAAATGAAAAAAATTTCTTGTAGTTCTGCTTTAAAGTATGTAGCAGATAGTAGTCACCACCAGATGCCAGGCCTTAGTACTGGTATTACAATAACCATCTTCACTGTTATGTTAGATCTTGTGTCTTCCAGACTAAGGGGTAGACTAGGCATATCTCATTCCCACATATGACAGCTCTCTGTGCCTCTGCAACCGGATGCCAGATTCAAGCACTGTCACCTGGGAGCAGGGACGTACAGAAGCCCCTGCAAATAGTGACTTCCAGAAAATCATTTACAGGCCCCAATGACACAGAGAGGACGAATATCAAATAGGCCATATAGTTTAGCTTAGTCATTTTATAGCTACTGCAGTTTACAGTTACAGTAATGCTTTTGTTCATTTTCCACATTGCAATGTTTAAAAGATTTGTGTTAAATAATCATTCAGCAGAGGAATCCCAATACATTTTAAAATAAAGGAAAAACCATCATTGGAGAAATAGGCAGGTTGTGATTGTTGACCTTCTTTATTGAGTTGCCTGGATATTTCTAGGTGTATCTTTCCTTTAAGAACTCTTGTTACATGTACAGACAAGGATGTCAATATAGATTTCATAATATATTAATAATAAAATAATTTACAGAATGTATATTGGCACTAAAGAGTTGTCTATAGGCCACAAGTACCCATATTACTTTTCTGAATTAGTTCTGCGAGACATGTTGCCGTCTGTATAAATCAGTAAATTTCCAACTTTTGTTGCCTAATTATAAATGAAATATGTATCAGTTGACATATAAAAGGTTTGGAACCTGTAGAGCACACAATAACAGTTACTAAATCACCATGATTATTGCTTCTAAAAAATATGTAAAAGTTCTTACTTTAATTAGAAAAAATGAGTGCTCTATAAAAATAAATTCGTTTTTCACGTTCCCTTTGCCCATCTAATCAGTCCCTAAAGTCAGATGCAAATGTGTTCTATTGAGTCAAATCTGTACCAGTCAGTTTACTGTGAGATCAGTCGCCTATCAGCTTCTTGCTGTACACTCACCGGCCACTTTATTAGGTACACCTTGCTAATACGGGGTTGGACCCCCTTTTGCCTTCACAACTCCTTAATTCTTTGTGGTTTAAATTCAACAAGGTGTTGGGAACATTCCTCAGAGATTTTGGTCCATATTGACACGAGTTACTGTTGCCTTTCTATCATCTCGAACCAGTCTGCCCATTCTCCTCCGACCTTTGACATCAACAAGGCATTTTCTTTCACACAGCTGCCGCTCACTGGATATTTTCTCCTTTTCGGACCATTTCTCTGTAAATCCTAGAGGTAGTTGTGTAAAAATCCTAGTAGATCAGCAGTTTTTGAGATACTCAGACCAGCCCAACTTTCTTGTTTGTTACAAACATTTCCCATTCAAAGTCACTTAAAGCCCCTTTATTCACTATTCTGATGCTTGGTTTGAAGTTCAGCAAGTCGTCTTATGCCTAAATACATTGCGTTGCTGCCATGTGACTAGCTGATTAGCAAATTGTGTTACCAAGCAATTGAACAGGTGTACCTAATAAAGTGGCCGGTGAGTGTATATATCTTTGGAAATTCAATAGGGAAATCTCTGCCAAATAGCTGACTCAGCCCACTTAGTAAATGCTTGAATTTTGGCTGAGCTGACCCATTCTTTCCCATTCTGATGCTTGATTTGAACTTCAGTAAGTCGTCTAGATGCCTAAATGCATTGCGTTGCCGCCATGTGATTGGCTGATTAGCAAATTGTGTTACCAAGCAATTGAACAGGTGGACCTAATAAAGTGACCAGTAAGTGCATATATCTTTCGAAATTCAATAGGGAAATCTCTGCCAAATAGCTGACTCAGCCCACTTAGTAAATGCTTGAATTTTGGCTGGGCTGACCCATTAACATCATTCCATTGAGAAAAATATCAGATTTCTCCTGTTCATGAGAAGAGACCAGGCAAGCACCCATAAGGCATTGGCATACCTCTACAGGTCTTACATGTCTAATTAGAAGATTATCACTGTTAGCTCTGCAAACCATGTACTGCCCTTTTTTTTTATTTGAAAATTCATTCTGATGTTAATGTAACTTTGTGTATCTGTGTAGCTGCAGCACAGTACTAACGAATGTTTAATGTCATTTTTAAATACCACATTGCTTAAAGCATTGAAACACCTTTCCCTGAGCATACCACATTGCTTAAAGCATTGAAACACTTTCCTGAGCAGCCTTCATTGAAAGGTGGATGCTTAATCATTACTGTGGTTCAGTAGACAGCACCCGAGCTGTGAATGTGTGTTTGGAAATACAGAGCAGGATCTTTTCTCGATATTTTAATGTTCTCTTTTTAGTTACTTCATATTTTAAAGTATAATTTTATGCAAAGCAAATTCAGCACGGCAGAACTTCACACAGGTATAAGGATACATACATATACATTTGTGCCCTCTAGATTACATTTAAGCTTCTCCCTTCTTACTGAACAAAAATTCACTTGGAAGCCTTGGAAAAACCTTTTTGTTATTGTATTTCTTATCTGATTCCAAACTGTCCATAGATGAAAACTCCAGCAGAGAACATAGATCAATGTGGAGCAGTGTACCTTCAACATAAATACAAGGCGTATTTTACTTTTCTTCATCCCTGCCTCCAATTTCTTCATCCCTGCCTCCAATGTGTGCCTGCAAACTGGGCACATTAAGCTGCAGAGATCAAAATTATTCTTGCTTTTTGGCAATTTTGAAGAGCACTTGAAGGTAGACAAATCACTGAACATCTAGCTCTTCTATATTTTTATGTTCAAGTATAGCAAAAATGAAAGGAAAATCAGGAACTGCCACAGTGTTGTATTTTAATGCAGTTTTTGTTCATCAGGTACAAAGTCATGAAAATATGAATTCTGGTAACCATTGTGATTAAAACCTCAACATATAAAAGGAAAGGACTAAGTCTTTTTTTAAAGTATGTGAGCCCTCACCTTGTAAAACAACCCATGCAGCTTAAAATAGAAATGAAAGGTAAAACGTGTGTATACATATAAAAAGA